TAGGAAACAAAAGCACAATTCGTATTTTTAACCCAACTGAAAAAAAAAATTAATTAGACTAGACCACAAAAAAAAATATTGACTCAAATTCAGCAGTAAGGGAAAATGCTATAGTAAATTGGTAAGAAAAAGGTCTAAATGGGTAGTGCAGTTCGCCCTGCGGCAGCTGGCAGGGGTGTGTCAGTGATGTGCAATCTGCACGCCGAGCGCATACGAGGGCTCTGGGGAAAAACGCCCCTTCCTGTCTTTGTAGGTTGCAACATCACAAAGCTCGAGCAAGGGACTGAGAGGCACAGGAACTAATTTCTCATCTATTATGCCTTTCCCGATTCTTTTTTATTACACTCACCCAATCACACATTCCTAAGTGCTCACAATGAATGCAATACTTTCACCACTATTGTCTTTGTCTCTTCCTCGTGCATTCAGCAGCATGAATGTTTCTGGCAGCTCTTTGCTTACTGTTCAGAAACGTATAAAACCYGTAACTCCTGTGCAGCATCACTGCAATGCAATTCCCTCCCCTCCTAATTCCGCCCTAGCTTTGCCAGTGCTGCACTCTTCCATGCAGCGATAAGGATTTGCAAGCGGCTGTCACTTCAGCGGACGGAAAGGGCAGGGGACTCCTCGTGCAGGCTCTGCTGCGGCGCCAGCGCCTGGGGGCAGCCCGCAAACGGGGCTGTCRGGGTGACACCACGCGTGGTGCCACCGCGCTGGCAGCCAATTGGGGACGCCTCTCAGGCAGCCCTGCCTGCTCACCTAGCGCACAGGCCTATCGGAAACACGGAGCGCTCGCCCAGGACTCGCTCCTGCATCGCTGCTGCCTGGCCGGCCACTCCTCCTTTCTCATCCTCCATCCTCCCTCGCTAGAGCAGGGGCAAGACAAACGCCTGTGGCAGATATCTGGCTCTGACTATTAGGCACTTGGCACTGATTCAGATAAAAATTTCCTTTTGGTTCTGGAAAACATTTCCTTTTTCTTCAGCAGTTCCAGTGGCAGGAAGACATTTCCGATTCTAAGCCACTGGGCGTTTTCATTCAGTAACGGCATTGTGCAGCTAATGGAGCTTTGCTCTTCTACCCCAAATATGTTAAAAGCAATTAATGTCCAGAGATGGCCCAGTCATGTCTACAACCTAGTGAGAAAACAGCCCCAGCCTTGAATTCTTTGCCATGTCCTGGCTTTCCCTGGTTAGAGCTGGTGCTTTCACTTGTCGAGACGAGGTTCTTGGCAGACCAAAGCAAACACGCAGCAGCAGATAGGGAAGGTGCAGGGCTGCAACCAGGCTCACAAGGTACCTTGTGTACAATATACCTCAGCACAGCTGCCTGCCAGCAGCACAAAGATGGGCACATAATGCTGTCATGGGACAAAGCCAGATATTAAACCCATCAGCAGGAAGCTGAACCCCCAGAGATCTCTTCTACCTGCCACACAATGCTCCTAAAGAGGCTGTAACTGCCAAGGACTTCTCACTTAGAAGAAAAAAAAAAGTGGATCCAAGTAAGCAAATCTGCAGTCTCCTGGGGCTGGTACASACTTCTCATATGAAATAAAAAACAAAGGCTCTCTGTGCAAATACCAAAGTACACAGCACTGTAGACACAGCTTCAGACCCAGGCCAGTCAGTAGTGCCTAAAATGTGCCTAACAGTATCTGCACAAACTGCTTTCTGTGATACTCACTGTAGCAGGATTCGAGCATTGCTCCAACAACACGTACAGACATAAGCAGCACGGGGCTTTAGCTCCGAGTTGGCAAAGGTCAAGCTGAAAAGCCCCACTCTAATATCCATTTTGTTCTCACCGACTGCTAAACTCTGCAGAACCAAGCTGATGATGGGGACTTTCTTCATTGCCTACTTGGCTCTATTCTCTGTGAAACACAAAGCTGTCATCTTTTCCCTTCCAGTGATGCTGGGGGAAATACGGGTCTTGGAAAGCTTTTTTCAGGTCTTCAAGATAAATTATCAGACAGAAAAGCTGAGAAGCAGACTCAGCTTGGAGCTGAATGCCAAGTTAGCTTAGTTAAGTCTGCACTGCCCTTCTACCTACAGACACAATCCTGCTTCCAATGCAGGCACAACAGTGACACAGGCTTGGACACACCTGGGGACTTTACCCGATCCAGTTATATATCACAAACCAACCCAGCCCAAGACCAGGCGCTGTGGAACCCATCATACACCTACCTAGGAAAGCGGRAGGCCTCAAGGAACCAGGAATTACACTACAATGCACGACGACGTTGTCTTGATGACTGAAGCACTTCATGGAACGGTGTTTGCTCACATTAATATAGCAGAAATGAGAAGCAGCATGAAAATAGAAGTGAATAAAAGAAACGAAAGGTGCAGTCAGCAGAAAAGACTGTGCAGACTGTGGGTTAAAGAGGAGTGCATGAAGCAGGACGAGAACAGATGCACCAGAGCAATGAACATGGGGCTGTAAGGCGAATAATGGAAGAGCGGAAGAGGTTTTCAATAGAAGCTGCAGAAGGAGACAAGATCTTCTGCTTTGTTGTTCCAGCTGGAGATGTCAGCACTGTCAAAGCTCTTTACTACCTCAAACACAAACTGCTAAAAATTGTCTTTAGACAGCAAAGTGCAAATTAAATAGTACCAATACAAAAAAAAAAGGGGGGGGAGGGAGGGAGGGCAAAAAAAAACACTCAAAACACACACAAAGCAAGCAAAACAACGACACCAACACCACACACACACCCCTCTCCTCCTTCAATCTTCACAGTGTTACCAGAGAAGCCTTAGGAAGCCAATTCCAAGCAGCAAATGCTGGTTTCCAGATCACTCAGTCTTATGGCAGCAGTTCAGAAAAGTCATGTTTACTTTGCTTAATGGAAAGCCACCCTCGCTCTCCCCCTAATGTCGAGACTAATCAGGCTTTAAGAACTACAAAGTTTAGCTGAGTCAGCCGCTCCAAGCCCAGTGGACACACATCACAGGACAAAAAAAAGATTGATTTAGWGAAACAAATGAATTGAGCTTCTCCTTTTGCATGCAGACAACTGCTATATCTAGCATGAGCTTTTCTCCAGGACCACCTTAAGGTGACAGTTTTGTTTCCAAAGTGCTAGTAACTTACGCCTGTGTTGTACCACCCGAAAACAATAAATGTTGGAACACTTTAACACAGTTCTAGCCTGCTATTTCAGCTGGCGCACAAGACTCTAAACACAACGGAGACCAACATATATAGCTAAAGACGAGGCAAAGCTCCTACAGA